GAAGGCTAATATCTGCAGGATCTCCAACTGGGAGAGGTAACGCACCTCTATCCCCGTGAGATCATCCTGACAGGGACAGATAGAAATAGGAAGGCAGGCAGAGAGATACATACATAAAGGGAAAGGCAGACGGCAGAAATAGAGGGGTAGGGGAAACAAAGACAGAGTCAAAGACAGAGGACAGACAGAAAGAGAAAAAAAAAAAGTAGCACATTATCTCTGTGCAAAGTCCTAGGAGAAACAGCCTGTTTGTAGAGTGATGCCTATCAGCTTCCTGACTGTCTTGGGAGATGTTACCTCACTGTGATGTACTTTACGCAGATAAAGCCTTCTATAGCCTGATGGAAAAACCTGGCAGATAGTCGCAAGGTGAAAGAAGAAGCCACAAAGAAGGACTGCAAGACGGATAGACAAACTAATGACTGCAAGAGTCAACACTTTGAAACATCTTTTAACATAATGAACAAGATGATGCTGACAGTCTTGTTACATAGCAGGGAAGCATCTATTTGTCTGTGGAGGATTTAAAGCATGTACATCATTTGTTTTACAGCTTTTCTTCTCTAGCTGTTTTCAAGTTTGTATCCTACAACTGTTATGTCAGAAAATTAAAAACATGTCTGGAAAAAAAGTGATTTAAGTGAATGATGTGAGAACACGGCACACCAGTAGCAGAGGTAATGACATTACGTCAAACTTGAACATCGATGCCTTACTCTATGTCTGCTGAGAACAGATGTAATGACACTAAAGTTTTCAGTTTAAATCTAGGTCCAAAAAGCGAAATTATATAACAGCAACTTAAAAAGAAAAACTCACAACTGTCACCATATGGAAAAATTTTTAACATATTTAACACTTATTTCCTCACAGAGGCAAAAAAGTGGTTGTGACAAAACTCTGAAATTCTGGCATCGTTTAGGCTAAAGCCACACTTTCTGCTGTGCTTCTGATCGGGATTGTTCCTCTTCTGTGCACAGACATGTCATCACAATAGACTAATATATTAACACGTACCACACAGTCGCTCTGGGGATCTTGCTTTTGGATCCGCTCAAGGTGTCATTTGTTGCTGCTGCATAAACTGCGTTGTGTTCATCTTCATATAAGTGCGTATCGTTTATTATCTTACATCCAGGATTTCGGTTGTTTTACAATTACATTTGAAAGTGTTTGGTTTTTTTTCCCATCAAGAACATAATCCATGTCCCATCATCCAGATTCCTCCATAATAAGCTACATTTCAAAATCTCACAATATTGTCATAATATTCACTTTCTATTTTTAAGAGGTAAGGCTATAGAGCCTTTTTCTAATCTTAGGAAGTGTTTTAAAGTAGCTTATCTGCTTCTAGAAACAATTTAAAGACCTTTTATGATTTACTTAATTTACTCAATGAATAATTTTAAAATATGACATTTTAGTCATTAAGTCATTTTCCTCTGTGTATTTTTAAGGCTGAAATGTGTATAAAAAAATAAAACAGAGTATGGGAATACTATACCTACCAGATTAAATAAAAATAATTTTACCCTTTTCAAAAGATTGAACTCTTCCAATAACTGCGTAATATCAGTAAAGGCATGGCAACAGGAAATGAAATATCACATACATTGATTTAGCTCTCAAAATGATTTAAAACATGCACAGCTTTTGTGAAACAAAGTTTTCCATGTTAGTAATCCAAATTCTATGCACTCTTGGAAAAGTATCGTACAAGGTAAAACTTTGCAAATGCTTAATCTATCTCCATGCTGTATGTATTATAAAAAAAATATAAACAACTTACTTTTACTATTATGAAGTAAAGCATCATTATTCAGTTATTCGTTAATTAGTCAACAAAAAAGGATTTCAATATGAGTGAAAAGCAGAACCTTAGTAACAAAGTGTAGCCTAGCTAAATTGATAAAAAGCAAGACGCACATTGTTGAAACATTTCCTTTGACTCTTCAGATGAAAGCAATGAAAGCTTAATGTTTGTCAATCATGTTATTGTTGTAAATCCATTACTGCTTACCTTTCATCTTCAAAGATATAATCGAGTCTCCCGTGTTGTTTTCATTTCTTCTGTCTTCCTGTTTTATCTGACCTAATCTTTCATGACATTACCTTATTAACGGTGAACATGACTATAAAAGCTCATGAAAATGTACATATTAACAGCTTTATCATTCAGTTGTTTGTAGCCTTACTTTGGTCTTTGAAAGTCCATTAGTCTTTTGAAAACATATCTGTTATATGTGTATATCTGTTATTACTAACTGTGATTTTCATAAATTCATACAAAAAAAAAAACAACAACAAAAAAAAACAGGCCAAAACAAGGTTAGCAAAGACATGAGGTCATAACCAATCCTCAACTCCTTGTCTCTGTGGCGTTTGGTTGAAAACATCCAGTAGCAGGTCCCTTGAACTCAGAAAGATGCAGGTTTTTACAGATGCTGCTTCCGCTCTTCTGCCACAATCGATAAAAAGGTTTGGACCTCTGGCTTTAACCATGGAATCATCGATTTTCAGCTCCTCTTCTTGCCACATACAACGGTCACGTCACGTTTTCCACAAGCCAATCAACGAATGCAGTCTACTGCCAATCAAATCGCTTGTGCGCAATACCCGGTTAGGTCCAACTTGTACCACCCCTGAGGTGGTACCAAAAGATGGGAGAAGATGTAGGATCTGCAAATGGAGACAAATCTGACCAGGACTCACTAAAGAACCGGTTAAAGACACGCCTGTGGAAAAGGGGCTTAGCTGCGGAAAGTCACATTGCAGCTACCAGCCCCTGTGTCCAGCACCAGCTGGAAAGGTCATTGTTATAAAAACAAAATGCATCACTTTGAAAGAAAAGCTAGCACCTTCCCCAATCTTCTGATTCACACAAGAAATAATACAAAAAAATACATGAATAAAAATCATTTCACCACATAGAAACTTGAGGAAAAGAAATACAATTGCCTATTTTGGCTCTCGTCAAAATTTTGTACATGATGTTGCAAGTATGTCGTTTGTCTCATTTTAAATATAACAGCATATATGCACACTTTGTGATGCTGTTCTTTTGTTCTTTAATCGATCGAGCCATAAAAGACTAGCAAATACAGTAACCATTGAAAAGTTGTGTCTGGGGACATGGATGGTAAAAGGATACTTTTTTAAAACCTTTGGTATTATCTTACACATTCTACTCTGACCCAGTTCCTTATGCATAACTCTCAGGAATATTCACACACAGGCACACACCCACCTGCCCAGCAGAGCTTAAAGTTGATGAGACCACAGAGAGACAAGACCGTGTCTAAAAAGAGTCTAAATGACATTACAAAGATAATGCAATTAGATTATGAAAGATACTCTCAGCTGAGTCTGAAACACAGGACTCCTCTTACAGGAGTCCTGTGGCACATAAAAGCCTTTCCCAGGATTAATCAGTCTCCATAATTTTCCATCTTTTTCTCAAAACTGTTCCACTTAGCTTCACTGACATCATCTAACACAAAGACAAGGATGGACTGAGAGATCTGTGTTTTGTGTGTAGCTATTCAGAAGTAGACATGGATGGAAAGCCTTCAGATTCAAACTTGTCTCTTGAGAAACCAGCTCAGGTTTGGGACACATTTTCTACCTTCAGACCAGGCTATGAATGCTAAAAGTGTGTGTGTATCATAAGGAATTTCTTTTGGTCAGCCTGTTGGGTGCAGACTAAACATTTTATTTTCTACCTGAAAATACAATGTGAAAGTTTGGTTTCACATTGTGCTTTTAGCAAGCACACTATAATTTGTAAACAAAGCCACATGGGCGACAATCATCGCTCTAATTGGACAGAAATAATGGGCGTAGGGCCAAACACAGACCTGGGAAACTGGTCCATTTAAAGAGGCCCAAATGTGTCAGGCATGAATACAACCTAATTCTCTTAACTTGATTGCAGGAAATAAATGGGTTGGACTGTCATCACTGACACCATAATTACTATAGTATATATATATATTTTTTATTTTTCAGATTTCCGATTGAACAGAATATTTTACTTTGTTTTTAGGAAGCGATACTGACCAAAAAACTTACTTGTTATCCCAAACAGCACAAGATTTGAATGCAAGATCTGTTTTCGTAGCCACTTTAAGATTACACGGATGATAGCAGTTGTCAAATACACTGTTGTACGGAGTATTTGCAATATTTTTACCAACATCTGACTGAGTACTAAAATTTATTGTGAATTCACGAGTTGCCTGTACTCTTGTCTACATTTCCATCCAGTTGACACACAGATGAAAGCAAACTTCTAAGACATCGCCTCTCTTTGATGCCTCGCAGCTTCAATAACAGCATTTGTTGTTGAGAGTGCTTTTTGTGTCCGTGTGCGTGTACATTATTTTGCTTGTGTGTAAATTGTCAACATTAGCAGTGAAGTCTCCTGCTTGTTCCATACGGTCCTTCGTGCAGCTTCAATAGATTCAGCACGTAATCTCGAGCTCACAGTTCCAGCTCTTTGACCTTTACTCGTGCCGCGTCTCACCTGCTCGGAAACACACAGCTGAGCATACACTCTGATGTATCTTAAATCTGCCTCTTCTTGTCTGTTAAGCTGAGCAGGTTAGAGAAAACATTCCTGCTTTGTTTTATTATTTGATCAGCGATCGCTAAAAGGCTACGGCTATTGGTGTGTGTCGCAATGTGCGTCAGTGCATGTCAGTGGATGAGGGTCTGGCATATACAAGTAGGAATATGAATGTGCTCGCCTGTTTGCTCTGTGTATCTATGGAAGGGAGATGAGATTAGCAGAGAGTTCCTACACGCTATAGAAGACTGTGTGCTGCTGTGGTGCCATCTTCTGGGGAAGGAGTGCAACGTCTTATTAATTATACAGTGACAAAGGAAAATGGTTAAGACAATACATAATTGCTAAATGAAGAAGGTCCGGTAAGGAACATGACATTTAGAGAATGACATAAATTAGTCTCCTGGGGTAACAAAATGAATGGGAAAAGCCATCACTAGGTAAACTGTTTATTCTTAAGCATAGTGGGTAAGTGGAACCTTACAGAAAATGTACATTATACAGAAAACATAAGGCAATACTGTACAACATGTAGACTGTAGCAGCTTTCAGTGCCAAAACACGCGAGAAAAACCATTTTATCGCAATTGTACATACATAATATGGATATGATGAATATCAAGTTTTGTAAATTTAAGTGTCATTCTGATAAAACAGGCAAACTCCTGGTACATAAAATTCGACTGACTTTGTGAAATTAACATTCGGAGTGGAGGGACTAAGGATGTGTCGAGTTTTGCCTGCACTGATAAATCAGTCCTGGTTTCTGAAAATAAGATTTAGCAGGTATAAAACATACTTTTCATTGAGGCCACATTTCTGTATTAAAAATGTTTTTTTGTTGTTTTTTCTGAAATTTCTAATTTTCATTAACAATAAGCAGAAAATCTGGATCATTAAAAGAGACGGAGACTTGAAAACATCTGTTTCACTTAACCCTTGTGTTTACAAATGGGGTCCAACCGACCCCACACCCGTATCACTTGCATTATTTGCCTCAGTCCTTGCACGCACAAGTGTTAATGAACTGAGTTACTGAAACTTGTCAATTGCATTCTAATTCATTAAATATGACTACATTATCTCCTTGTGTAGATGGGTTTTTTTTTTTCTCAATCATTACTGCAGAAATGAACAAAACAGGACAAAAACAAAACAGGAATAACCACAATGGTTCAAAATGTGAACTATTGGAAATTGTACAGAATGAGCCTATGAATATACATGAATGATAACTTAAAAGTTAGGCACTTCTTTCATTTTTTTTTTTTTACACAGAAGGGATCACATATGTACAGTCCATGGTGCTGTGATAGCATTACAATGTAGGATTTTGTTTTTAATCTAACAATTATGAGACAGAAAGATGACAGAAATTTTCCACTGTAAAAAAAAAATCACTTTAATTTTTTCTTCTATCTGCTTGATACAACATTCATGTTCTCATTTTGTAGATCTATAAGACCTAAATTACATTAAGAGTGTCACAAATACACTCATTTAATATATATTTACATAAAGGACTTGCTTTACTTAAGCCCCTCAGAAATGGATGGAGTGCCCTCAACATGTTCTACCACAGGTTGGTTTTCTAATTGGCCCAACATTTGAACCTCTGCATTTGGTATTCAGTTCATTCAAGTAATACCAGGATTTGAGAATTCACATACACACATCTACAGTGGACACATGGAAAGTCTGCAAAGGTTGACAGATGTCATACAGAATGGAAACCTGAGAAAAAGAAGTTTCAAAGAATGATACAATAAGAATGATAAATATATTATACAAACTAACATGGCACTATGTGAAAGAATAATTGCCCTACAAACCTAATTGGTTAGGCTTCGTTTGGTGGCAGCCACTGCTGTCATGGGTTGAAAGTTAGTGGCACTAACGCTGCTTTCCAGTTCTATCGGAAATCGGAAACTCGAAGCTCAGTTTCACGTCAGACCCAAGGTCACCCAAGGTCAGTTGGAATTTCAACATGGCGACACCCACAAACATTAACAGTACCTCTAACAAACATCAGCTTTAAACTTTATTTTCCGTAAGCAAACATCACTTTTAATTTGTTTAGTTTATAGTTGCAGGTGTTACAATGAACATAGACACGCTCTCGCATGTTTGTCTTTTAAAATAAACATCAGTAACACTTTATTTGAAGTGTGATCGACATGACATTGTCATAAACTTGACACAACTGTTGTGAACATGACGGAGTCTTCATTAATGCTTGTTGTCATGAAGGTAAATAATGACATTTTTAAAGCAAAGTTGCATTAAAACTTGCATCAAAAAGACATTAAAGGTGTCAACTTTAGAATAAAAGTGTCATTTAACGAATGACACTTCATGACAACAGTCATTGACATTTACGAAGAAACCTTCATGTTCATGACAGGTGTTGTGTCGGTCTTATGCAATCCCTTCCAATAAAGAGTTGCTCCCAGTTTCCCAGCGGGAAATCTGACATCGGAGGGAGTTCCAATTGATTTTTCTGACTGGGAAGTCAGAATTTCCCAGTTCAGAGGAAAATATGAACGCAGTCAAGTCTTTTACATCCCTTTGGATTCAAATAGCTTCTGCACTTTGAGTATGATTTTCCTTATCTGTGATTCTAAATCAGCTTTGAACCAGATTTATCAAATTGCACAACTTTTGAGGAGTTAAATTTTTTATCTCGGAAGTCTACAAAATATGCCAAACACCTTTTTAGCAAAGATGAGATGTTCATTTAGATTATAAATGGTTTTCACATTGGAACTTTACCATGGACGCCATTTTTTCTTTCTTATTGTTGAATCATGCTTCATCACTGAAGCAACTAAAGCCTTCTGTATATATTGCTCTAAGTTCTTTGGTAACTTCCTGAATATACACTTGTAGTAATTTTCGTAGGCTGGCCACTGCTTGTCAGGTTCAGCTTTGTGCAATGTATTGGTAATTGTATATAATTATCTTCACTGTGGCTTATCAAAGTTTTAGTTCCTCATCTGTTTATTGCTGTAGGACTGGGCATCATGTGTTACAATGTATGATATATTACTGTGCTCTGTGTTGAAAACCAGGTTCTGTTTAAATGATTTTTTTTTTCTTTTTACAGACATGTGGCAATAATCACGTGTGGGCATGGCTAGAGATACTGAAATTAACTTTCCAAAATATTGTGATAAATCAAAGTTAATTCATGTCTTATCCAGGTGTTAACTTTTTCACACAGGGCCAGGTTGGTCTGGATGCATTTTGACCTTTAATGAATTAATAATTTAAAGACTGCTTTGTAGAATTAACTTTGGTCATCTTATCTAATATTAATAATTGTTCCAGGAACCGAAACAGGTAAGGTAAAAGGGGCAAATTCTTTTTCGCAATCCTGTTTGTATTTTTTGACTCTGGTTCTGACTGACTCCTTTTCTTATGTAATAACTCCCTTTATCAAAACTGTTCTCCCTCTAGATGGTTCAAAAATTACATGATGTTACATGTCTACGATATGAGAAGTAATACGTTTCCATCTTTGCAATAAACCACTAGTTACTGACTCCTTGTACTGAAGTCAGTATGGCATTTGCTAGTGATTTTAAAGCCATCATCACTGCAAATGCTTCCTCAGACTTTCATCTTCAGCTGCAGACCCCACAGGTATCTGAGTCACAGAAACCAGATGTCCTGAGTTAAAGATGTCCACTGGAGTTAAAGAAGAGAGGGTCTAGTTTTAATTTAGTCCGGTAGTAGTGATTTGTTTCTAAGCAGTGTCAGAGTTTGGGTTATATCGAAAGACCTTGTAAATCCACTGTGTGTAGAAGGGGACATTAATGAAAATGCCAGGCTGGTTGGCTCGAGCGCAGCCTCTGCCATGGACACTGATGCCAACAATAACTTTGAGATCACCATCTTGACACACAAGAGGGCCCCCATAATCTCTCTGAAAAAGAGAAAAAATAAAATACATTGACTATTATTCGTCATCCGCAATTGAGCTGTCATCACTGTTAAGCTTTCCAACAAAGGTAAATGGAAAAAAAAAAAGTGTTTAACATTCTCGGTGACGGGCGGCACCATCATGTTCGGATCTGTTACACAGTCAGAAACCTCAGACAGCTTTGGAAAGCTGATGAAATTTGGAGCAACAGTCTCCAGCTGCTCTGTTTACAGCAGACTGAAATCTAAGCCAGTGGATTCAAGAAACATTTGTTTGAGATTTAGATCAAACTTGGCTTAGAAAGCACTGTGTTGGATCAAGGCACTAAAGTTCTTGTAGATTCACATTAGGAGCAATTATTTATTTATCTATTTATTTTTTTATCCAGATCTCAATGCCTGTTCTCATTTACCAACACGGTTGCCATGACACTTTCTGACCTCAAAATAAAATGGTTAAATAACTTGCCGATAAATAAGGCAATAAAAAATGTTTCCAAAAACTGTTTCTGTTCATGTACCTCACACACTCCCTCGTTCCTTTTCCCCCCTGCACAGATCTTGGTGTTGGTGATGTGGAAGTTCCCTCTATGCATTTCTCTGCACCTATCATTTCCAACAATGGGCAAGTCCACTGCCTTTAGGACGTCATCGTGACCAGTGCCTAAAAAAAAGACAGAGGATCCTAATTATTGCTGGGTTTTTTACAGTTCAAACAGCATAACAGGACTGCAATTATTTTTATAAACATATCTATTCAATGGCTTATTAACTTAAGTCACAAATGAGCAAACTTCACAGCAGCGACTCAATGCATTCAAGCATTAGCCATGGTGTGGACAACTTGCTGAGGTCAGAGGAGATTGGTCAGATTGGTTCAAGAGGATTAAAAATGCAACATGAGCTCAAACAAAAAGTTATAGAAACTATCTCAATTCAACAATTTGAACAGCTCACCAAAATGATACAATAACAGATTGGAGAAACGTTCCTTAATCCAATGAATCTACCTTTTTAATTTCAAAAACTGGTAGGGTAAAAAATGTTTACTTTTGAATGCAACAGAAAATGAAGAAATTACAAGATTACACCCAAAAAAGCATTAAAGCATAAGCACATTGCCATTAACTAATGAAAAAGAACATGCAAGTCCATTGGGTGATGGATTAATAAACAGGAAATGATGGGAGTATTAATACATTTGATGAATATGAAGATACAATTAAAATATTTGTTCTTTTTTTGCATTTGAACTTAAAGCCACTTAAAGTGAACCCTTGACTGATTGGATGATGTAAATTAACCCAGTATCTTGTGTCGTTTTACATCCAATTTATTCTCTTTTTTTGGTTGTCCTGGGGACTGCAAATGCAACATCATATGCAACAATCCCAGGAGACAGGAGTATGCATGCATGCAACAGCTGTGGTGGGTTTAACATATGGATACCTTTTGTCTCTCCCCATCCATACATTTTGCACATGGTTCCCTCTGGGATGGAGCATCCGGCCACAGGCAGCTGAATTGTGTGGACGTTGTCTGCAGGACGGGCGGGCCTGGACATAATTAATGTGCATTATTCAGATGCAACAAACAGAGATTTATGCTTAAATAAATCTGGGAATAGTTTTTTTTTTTTTTTTTTTCCCCCAAGCACCAACTTTGAGAGTCTCAGGAGGGCTAAGCTGGATCCATTGGGACCACATATCACTTGAGCTATTCTGACTTCCTGTCTCTTAGGTCTGTCAGGAGATCCTTCTCGAAGATCAGAGACTCCCAGCCACACCCGATACTCGCTGAGGTCTGGAACACTGAAGGAACACAAGACAAATAACAATGTTGAGCTGAAAAATATTTCAAGCTTTAAAGTAAAACAGAGCAAATAACTTACCAGGAGGAGAAGCATTGTCTGTCAGTAAGTACCCACTCCTCTCGCACAAGAGAACCTCCACACCAATGCACTGATCTGGGAATAACACAAAAGCCAAATGTGACATGATGGATGAAACCAAGTTATCTGGAGCCTTTTAGATTTATGTGATTAGCACTAACTGCATTATAAAATAAAATACTCAAGAACAATCTCTACCCCCTCCATATATGTGGTGTCACTAGTATTCAACTAATAAAATAGATAAATTATGTTTTTTGTTTTCTTTAAAAAATTTTACCTTTTTTTTTTTTAAGATAGTTTTATTATCTTTTGACAGACACCTAGTTAATTTTGTACCTGAAACAAACTTCTTGGTTCAATAAAAATAAGTTTGGGCTTAGATGGAAACAATCACTTCAGCCAAGTGACAACAAAGGCTTAGCAAGGTGCTGATTTTATCTGTATGAGGAGGGTGGTAAGGGAGATAAAACAAACTGCAAATAGTTCACACACCACACAGTTACTGTTTTTAAACATATTTTTGTAGTTAAATTGTTTGCGTGCAAAAGCTGGATTGAAAAGTAGAAAAAAAATAAAACCCATCTAAAACAGTCAATAAAAAAGAAGTTTAGTTTTTTCCTGATTGTGGGAGGAAAATATATAAAACTGAAATGCGTTTACCCTTTCTGTATGCTAACCATCCAGCTGCCGTCTGATATGCCAACTGGAGCTCCTCCCACAATCCTGGTTCTTTTATGGACAAAACACCTCACAGGGGTTGGCTCAGCTACAAAGACTGAAACACATGAGCATAAACGTGCACACATTTGAAAAAAAACATGTTTCTTTTTTAACCTTTTTCGAGAATATAGACTTACAATACATGTAACTTAAATTATAAACATGAATATGAATGCAATGTCACGTTTTCTTCTGACATGTTGCTTAAACAGTGACTATAAAAGGCTCTTCATTCATAATAACATAACTAAATGCTTTTGCTGCTACATATATTTTCCAATATCATGTTGGTTCTATCTGTCTCAGGAACTGGGGATTCATACTTTGTAGTTTCCATAAATCTGAAAAAAAAAGTCGCGTATAATAAAAACAACTCACAGACACAAACGCACATGTAGCTCTCACTACAACAACATAACGTTTTGCATCTTGTACCATGACGACAGGGTATTAAAAAGGACAAATGCTGAAGAAGGAGAGCACTCACCTGGTGGAATGCTGTTTTGCAAAGCATCACCTGTAGACAGGAGAGGAGAGAAACATGTTGTCTTACATTAATTACAAATATTAACAAGGTACAAGGTGAGAACAAACAGGAAAAAGTGCTGTCAGGTCTGACCTGACAGTATTTGTGAGCTTTGTGAAGCTCATAAAATTACAACCTTCTTTAGAAAGTTGATTGGATGTTGTGAGACTTTGCCACACTAAAGAAAACTTAAGCACCTTAACAGTTTAAGGTATTTGAGGGAAACCAGAGTTACAGTTGTAAATTTTGGTAAGTAGCTAATTTATGAAGAATAAGACAAATCTGATTTACTTGAATAGCCTGTTTCCTTGCCGTTTCTTTTTTTAATTCTCCCATTTTCCTGCAGCTAAAGATATTTTAATACATGTCTCTACTACCCATTATCAGTATTTGTGTAGAATTTTATATCTTTGGTTATTTTACTTTGTTTCATCTAATGTTGTCAAATCTGACAGTAATATTAAGGTTTCTCTCTGAGGCTTAGTGTGACAGGGAGAAAATTGGAGGTTTTAGTTTGATTCCAGCAAATGTAATGAGTTCTGAATATTCTCTAACACTAATCTCTGAGTGTCGACAAGCGGGTCCACTCCAAACTAAGGTTATTTTTGTAACCATATATGTGAGATGACAAACCTCTAAGAGAGAAGCTATTTTTTTTTAACTACAATTCTTCATCTGGAAGAATGACAAACCTCAGTTTTCTCATTATGTGTGAGTGTAAGAGACACTGTTAAACTTTGATGGTACTACGTGAGCACATGTTCATGGACTTACAAGGTTTTACGTTGCAGTAATCCCAGCTAATGGCAGAGTTGTTGGTGAAACACCAGGGACCATGTTTGTCCTTATCAGGATTTCTGCAGAAATTTCCCTCTAGGCCAGCCATCAGCATGCCCCTCTCCCCCCTGAACAAAGAGAAAGAAACACATTGTTTAAATTGGACATGGACAGTTTTTCTAAAGAAAACATTTTTTTTTTACAGGAATATGTTGTAATTTGTGGCTTCCTATTGAAAAATTGTTCCCAAATACAGTGAGCACTTTTATATAACAAAGCTGCATGCCAGAAATGCAGGTAAAAGCGCCATGGAAGTGAACAGTGTAGGACAGATAGCTCAAGCAGAGAGTAAACAGTCAGCCCACCAAAATGACCATAACTGTTCTTTGTGAGAATATAAGGTAAGATAGGTACAGCGTTTTGTTTTGTTTTATCTGAGACCTGTTGTCTCCATACCATGTTAAATCAAGAGCTGCTCTCTCCAGTTGACCCTCCTGCATTTTTAACTTTGATAATTAACTTTAGCTGATAAAGTTTAAGTGGCATGATTGATGGTGTTGTCGGTATAACATTTTGACTGCTACATTACTGAGTACATAAATCCCCTGGAGTGAAATACAGACAAACTACATGGAAAAAAAAAAAAAAAAAAAAGTGGGATCTGCTAATACAAAGCAGGCTAACATAGTGGGATGCGTGTCTGGAGAAAAAAAAAATTGGCATATGCCTGTTTATGTCAGTCTAACAATACTGCTCAGTCAGAACCAGAACAAGGTCTATCTGGATACAACCAGAATTGAAAGATTTCTACTTATCAGTAGTGATTTGGTGAAAAGTCCCTACTTTTTTCACCCCCAAAAAAGTAGTGAATGGTATTTTCTGCCCATGGGCCCAGAAGCCCTTTAGGGGCTTCTGTCTTTTCATTACTACTTCTTTCTTGAGTACTTTCTCATCAACAGATAAATCACCTCAAGTTTATACTGCAGACATTGCTATCACTACTTTTATCTTGGGCGAGCATAATGTCATACATTAAAGTACCACAACCTCAGATGTATTCTTGGGGTCTTTTTGCATTTTTTCTTTTGTTTAACTGTTTGAAATGTTTTGGTAATTCACAAAATGAGTTACCAATAATATGGCCCAATGCATTTAACTAGTTGTTTAGTGTTATTTGTTTGTAAAGTTTGAACTGAATGACACCAAGCACATGGCATGTACATTTGTTTTCATTGTTTAGCATGTCGTACGCTTGTGTATGGGGGTATGGAGGTCAGGTTAAAAGCCCGTTAATGTTGTTTTATTGTGAAAACAGGTCCCCCATTTGCGGCGCCAAAAAGTGGTTGGCAAATGGTTGCTGCTGCATTCATGTTAAACTTCTATGTTAGGCTTCTCTGTATATACAAGATAAGAAGATACTCGATAAATAAATACTCACTAAATCCTCCAACATTTACATTTTATGAAGACATATTAAACTCATGAGTGTCCTCTTGTAAGAATTTTAAAACCAAAACCAAAATTTTTTCTTATTCCAAATTTAACAACAGCATTAAAACAACACTGCACAACATAATGGTTTAGAAAAAAAAAAAAAAAAAGCAAGCATGAGTTTCAAATTCTATGTTTATATGAGTTATATTTCTCTCACTGCGAGTTCCTGACCATGACTTTTGACCCACAGGCAGGATTCCAGGCAGTGGATCTGAGTAGCTTTGAAGTTGCTACAAAGGGGGCTTTGGGGTCAAATGCGAGGACTGAAGTGTATATCCCTCCACCAAGTTATCCCTAGGAGTCACTCTTCTTGAGTTAGGTCATCTTTGGTGGGGGGGAAACAAAAGTGGTTGTTCATGGATGCTGAAGAAGCTAGTCACGGTAGCCATGTTCTGCTCCTGGAATCAAGAAGCTCACCATGGTGGGCTAACAACAGAATGACTTATGTAAAGGTCAACGTAAGTTTCCTCTCTCAGACCAACAAGCTTAAGGTCTGCACAGCTGGTTCTTGGAAATATCGGAAAATGTTTTCAACAAAAAGGCATGTCATTTTCAAAGCTTTGATATCACTGAGCCGTTAAAAATCCTACAAATGTTACAAAGCTTTCTGACAGTTAATGTCCTTAAAAAGTTTTGCTACATCTTTGTTTTTATGCAAAGGTGCATGCATGTGATTTATTGGCAGAGCAGGTCTGTGTTTTACATCATAAAGTTTGGAAAAGTTATTAGGCAGGGAAGGAGCAGCGATTCGGTGGACTGACCTGTTGCTGTGGTCTCTCCAGGGAGCGCAGGGTAGGTTTGATCTAGTCCTTGACTGCTCTCCTTGGTAATTCTCTCCAAAGCCCAAGAAGCAGTCTGAGTTTGACCGCAAAAGTGGGGAAAAAATGAGAAAGGGAATTCAGATATTTATTTTATATGTAAAACATAGAAAGCATGCTTAACAAACATCCTTTGTTTACTGAAATCTCTAATTATTTTCTGCCTATTCTGGGTTGCAACTAATGTCTCGCATTTGCAGCAAAAAATGACTGATAAAATTGTAAACAGTAACAAAGAAAAACAAACAGTTAATGGTGTGCCTTCCTTCATACTTCTTGAATCATTTTTAACCTTTTTTGAAGTTCCAACCACTAAATGAATGTGAAGTGGAGGTAGAAATACATGGTTTTAAAGGTGAGACGTGCAAATAACTTATTTTAATTCGATACCATAAGAAGTTCAGATGAAAGTGGGCAGAGCGAATATAAAAATTAAACTTGCTGGACTACATATAAAACTCTGTAGAGGAAATCCTGAAAACAACTACCGCCCCACTGGGGCACATAGTGAAAGAAGCAGCTTCCTGTAGAGATGTGTTTCTTTAAGATAGACTTCATACGAAGTTGGATGGAGCTAAATACACAGAATGAGAAGATCTGTTGGAGGAGGCAGGAGGCTTTAGAATGGGACAGAGGTTCACATTCCAACAGGAAATGAACCCAAAATCTGTGGCAGGACAAAAAAATATTGATTTTGGTCATATCTGTCAAGTCTCCTGGGAAAGTACTATATTTTGCCCCTCTTTCCCGCCGTGCCCCCATATAAGTGTTTTCTCGAACATTTCTCATATTAGAGTAACTATGTCGCCAATGCCCTCACATGCCCATTCGTACGGAAGCACAGGACAGCGGAAAATCTCCCCTGTTCTCTAATCTGAAACTTAACAGGTAGGATTTTGGTGGGTTGGGTGTGTTGCATGCCATATAAGTAAATAGGAATACGTAGGAAATTTGAAAACTTTGTAACTGTTTCCTTACAACTTATGTGCCACTTTGTGCTGTCTCCTTTTTACTGCGACAAACTGTGGAAAACTTCAGAGGATATGAATGACTATGTTTTCAAGGCACTTTGCTTTAGAATTGCTACTGATGTAATGCAATGTATCTGCCGTGTAATACACATTTGGTGTGAAACTTTACACTTAATCACTAGAATATACAAACCACTGGAAAAATATGGAAAATAGTTTCTAACAAACTGAACCCTAACATACCACAAATATATAACTTTCACGTTAAACTATAAAAACTCCTTTGCTTTAGCTATCATGGCTGGATCTAGAACACACAGAGATGGGAACACAAAGTAAGTCATCCACTAAGACTCCTTGGAGAAACGGACATAAATAAGTTATTAAGCTGCCTGTCATCCTACATTTCATTTCTATATGGGAATGTATTCAAACCTCGAGGGTAAACCACAAACCAACCTCAGAGTCAGTTTTTATGCAAAGCCACAGAAACTAAAAAATATTCCTGAAAATCCCTTGAGAAATTGAAATGTGTGTAATCAGCCATAGATCTACATCTTTCCCTTTCAGAATCTCTTGGTATTGCAGAAAGAATCTGAACCAAGACTAATCCCCCAACTTCATCCTTTTCCCTGTCCAGTGAGACCAGACCATCCCTAACTGCTGTCAGATTTTATTTATGTGAGACGTGGTGGTCAGTCCTTCCCACAGTCCTGTGCGATTACAATTTTCCACAGGGATGCAGAGGACCTTGGTCACAAACCAATATGTGTGGTACAGGGTCTCATACGAATTCTGCAGTGTACAAAATGTAAAAATCACCAAATATTCTTCTGTTTTAGGCTGAAGAAACATGCTTTTCCCTTGCTGCTTTCAGCATCAAATAAAGCTGTCAAGTTTCTCACCGCTGACAGGACTGTTCTGGACGCCACACTGAGGGATGTGGGTGCAGAACATTGTGCGTACTCTTGGGTCTGTAGTGAAACACCAGGGGAATTCTTGACCGTCTGGATTTCGACAGTAGTTCTCTTTCAGGTCCCTGGAAAATAGTGAGGAAAAAAAAGAAAAAAAGGCATTGTGTTATCTTCTCAGACGTGAGTGCACACTGGTGGGTGAAAGGCTTTCTCGTGCAATTTTTCACTCACTTGCAAGGGTAAGCTTCAGGTAGGAATGTGTGGTTATGTGGATACTGAGAATCCCAGCGTTGGCAGGCGAGTCCGCTGGGCGTCGTGTCCGCTGTGCCTCTGTAACCCTCTCCTCTGCCCTCATAACACTCGGTTGTCTCCGCCTCAGGACTTTTAGGAGGGGTTTCTGCAAAAGAGTTTAAAATATTAAGTCTGTTCATTAAGGAACATCTAGCTGATTTGTTGGAATGCATGCTGGTAAATACATGCTGGTTATTTGGACTGGCTGGTGGGAACTCATCTTATTCCACTTAAAACTATATTCCATTTGATGTGTGAGTCTGTTTCTGTAACTGATGCTTCTGTGCTAAAAAAAAAACAACATAAAAAAACATGTTCAGTCTTCCTCAGTTCTTTGCCATTTTTTATGCTTCTAAATCTGTAGTACAAGTTCTAGCAGTTGTACTATTTTATTGTCTTTCATGTTTTCTATTGTTTTCTAATATTGGTTGCTTGCATTTTTGTGCTGCTGTATTTCTGTGGATATTTAACACAGGCAAAGTTATCTACTTTGAAAAATTAATGGTTCTAGCTCAAGTATACAACTAAGATTCTGGATCCTGAATGTCTGCATAATCGATGGATCTAATAAATGAACCAAAATTGCATCTTGAAAATGCATTTTATGTTCACAAGCAGGACAACACTTGTGATTCCGAAGTTGATTCAGAATGCAAAAATAAAAAAAATTAAAAAGCGGGTAAGAGTGGTCCAATGTTGTGCTTTACTACGTCTTTCTTTGGTTCATAACAAGACGCCCACTTGCTCCATTTTCCAAGGATCAAGATGTTGACAGCTAACATGCAAACCACAGCTTTCAACTCCACAAACCAGGTTGTGACAGCACAATGTTTGGCTTGGTTTTGACATCACATCCCGAAAATCAGTCTTTATTTACATTTGCTGGCCATGCTCGCCTGTCCTAAAGCAGTTTCTTTCAATGATCTTGGAAACACATGGAAAAAATTAAAAGGAAATCCATAAGGAGACAAATGCACGATTCGTAGTAGCGCGTCTCCTTCTAGCTTTGAGAAGAGTCTACAAAACAACTGAAAGATCGGTGTAAATTTATCCGGAGCCAGAAAGTGACTGATGACAACAGATTTCACTACCAAGGGAAGAAAATGCATAAATAACGACGCACAGAATAAAAATCATGTCATCATCTGCACTGGAAATCTTAATTATCTTGAAATGATTTAATTCTGCTCCATCACAAATAGATTTTCCTTATTTTTAGGCATACACAAACATGGGCAGAGTAAAACACAGTTGGTAACATTGACCACTGTTTCACAATAAAAATAGAATGTGTGTGTTTACGCTCGGTATCAAAGTACATTAACGTTTCAAAAAGTTACATTTTGAAAAAAAAATAAATAAATAATAAAATATATATATCATTCCTATGGTTTAAAGTGCTTCATATATGTAGGACATAAAGTCAGCATCTCCATACCTGCTGTACGGAGCTTAAAGTAAGGCTGTGATACCTCTCCAATCTATCTATTGTGCAGCAATCTATTGCTGCACACTGCTGGTCAGCTATCTCTATAGCCAGCTATAGAAAACAGTTACACTTTTACAAGAAAGGCAATTCTGGGTGAGAGTCCAGACCTGTTGTCCTTTGCCACATGTTTTCTGTCAATGTGCTGTGAAATAAAAGCCACTAGAGCGAAAATATCCTTTTTAAAAATATTACACTTGAACAAGGATTACTCTTCAGTGAACTGATCCCCACAAAGTATATTCATCCATTTATTTCTGTCAAGTAAAGACTACCTTTGCACATAATTCCACACGTAGCAGACAATTTGCTTTGGCTGCAGCCAGGTCCTCTGAGTCAGTAATTGTCATCACTGCAGATCTTTTAACATGAAGGTTGCAAACAATTGCGTTGTGTAGATAAAAATGATTATGTTTTTAAGCTGAGATCAATCAGTGTTCCTAGATTTAGAACAGGAGAAATATTTGGTTAGTGATAGCGTTTCATTGGATATTTAGCAGCAACTTGGTTTGAGCAGAACAGCCCCCTCTATGGGCCTCTTTTTAGAGGAGATCTGGAAAAACAAAGCAGGAATCCCTTGTTTTTTTTATCTGTTCACAGAAAGGTCAGAGGCAAGTCAGAAGTTCATTAGCCTGTACATGAGTACATGCAGAAAAAACATGTTATAAACACCGAATCTTAATTTTTTTTATTGTGTCTAAAAATAGATATGTGCCAGTTTAACAGTAAACAAAAGAAGGGGCCGTGTGAGTGGACCACTTCAACGTTTCTGTGTCTCTCGCTTTGTCCTCACAGCCTTGTTTTGATTAAGACTAACTGGGTCGTAAACTTGGGTGGTTACCAAAAAACTCCCATATCAAAGAGCAAGCCGGAGAGATAGAGAGCGAGGGGTAGAAGACAGTTTTTAGAGGGGAGAAAATAAGGGAAACACTGAATTATTGGGTCCATATGGATCATTGCCATCAAGCAACCATGGTGCCAGGATTGCGGATGCCTCTTGCAGGCCAGCCGGCCAGTCTCAAAGAGAGTACAAAGCTTTTAAAAAGTATGCATGCATCTGAATGTACAGAAGTTTGAAAACATGTAATGTCTTTGGTTCTGTCCTATACACTTTGTAGAACCATCGTTCATTGCTTTTACAGCTGCAAGGCTTTTTGGTTTATGTTTCTATCAGCTTTGCACATCTGTAAACTTACATTTCTGCCCATTCTTCTTTGCGAAATAGCTTAAGATCAATCAGATTGGAGAGTATCTGAGTATAGGATTTGCAGTAGATCAGGACTTTGACTTAGTTGTTCTAAGTTAAGCACGAATACATTTTAAACTAAGCAATTAGTTTTTAACTCGAATTAGAATAAACTCTTATCAGCTTCTCTGCTGAAGAGATGCATCCGGTTAGTCGAACAACTAATGTTTAACAGCATTAATTGTTAAGACATCAGTCGGACCTTTTGTATAATAAAAACACAGGTATACTCCTGTGTTTTGTCTAGATGTGTTGCTGACTGCTAATGTGGAGTTCTGTGCAGCCTGACTACCAAGAGCTGGCATAGAAAAATAAACAGCGGGCCGATGGCGCTGTGAAAAATAAACATTTTGGATACTAAAGAAAGGGGGCCAGCTGATAGTTGTGTGTGTACATGTGTTCCCTAACATCAAGGAAGATTCATGTCAATATGGGGTAAAACAAATGCTACAGGAAGTTGAACATTGTGGAAAATTCAGTCAGGCATGACTGACAGCAACAGTATTCAACACAAACACACCTAGTTTACATCACAGACAGATTTTCACTTGACATGCATAACTGGGGTCTATTTAACCACACACAAACAAACACGCACTCATGCTTACCACAAACTTTGATGTTGCAGTACTCCCAGTGTGTGTTTGGGTCTGTGGTAAAGCACCATGGTCGGTGACGTCCGTCAGGGTTCCTACAGTAGTTGTCATGTAGGCCTTTGTCAGGGTATCTAGCACAAAAACGAGACACCTTAGAGTGTACACAAAGCCCAAAGCTTGCAATAAAAGTTCCACATTTCTCCTGCGTGCACAGTGGAACAATTTGAACGAGTATATAGTACTACATGAAGCTGACAAATAGGCGACTAGTTGCGAGCAGACACCATCTGTTTATGTGTTTAGAGCTCAGGGAAATGAGGAGGATAATAAGTTGCAACACTACAGATGTTTAGCAGTCAGTCATCCCAAAGTTCCACATCCCTTCAGGCCCGTCGCCTTCAGGCATGCAGCACCAGGCTGCGGTTCCTCTCGTTTCATTAACGACATGAGCAGCCTGGGGCCCAGTTTGTACAAATAGTCTGATGATTAAGGACGTGTTAACGAGTCTCAGCTAATCCAGACCACCTGCCACCCAACTAGCTGGAAGAGCCATGACACAAACTCGCAAAAGCTGACAGGGACATATGTCGACACAAGCTGAAAAGATGTAAGGAATACTTGCACAAATTGAAATATATAGCTTTCCTAATGGGGATTTCCCAGCATACGACAGTTAAAAAACACAGATCTATACTAGATTCCCATCACTTCTCTTAGGGGAAATGTTTTCATTGGCCGACTCAAAATCACTGATCTCCAGAGTGAGTCTCATGAATCAGCTGCAGCAAAATACTGTGTGATGAAAAAATATCGCATGCACATCAGTGCACTAATGACAGAGCATATGGTTTGTGAGGTGTACTTCATGCGATTTTAAGTGTGAAAGTTTTACCTTGAGGGGTGGTATGAATGCTTGTGAGGTTCATTCAGGTCCCATCGTTGACATTCTTTCCCACTTTCTGTGTAGTCCATTGGTCCTCTGTAATCTTCCCCATTACAGGTAATGCACTCAACTGTACAGTAAAGGAAGACAAATATAGCATAAGGTCTAACTTCGAGGTAACAAGGCTTTTTTGCTTGTTTGTTTGTTTTAAAGAATCATTGCTTCCAAAGGAGATTTTGGATAGTCAGTTTGAATGAGGCTGATTATGGGATATTTCTAGTCAGGATCTTTCCAACACTAAACAGCAGCTGAAATATTTTAACTTTAGTGACGACTAAGAAACTGGGGAAGTCAAGCTAACACCTGCTTTAGAAAGAAAATAAATCCTGAATATGATCTGAAACTGACAACAATAAATGGCCTCAGGTCATTTTGCCTCTTTAGCAGAAAAGTGACCACTTTCATACCCCAGTTTTGCACCATTTTTTTTATCTTCTTACATGAATTTCTCACCTGTAATCAAACCATTTTGCAACTAATTACCATAAGAATGTCTGTCATTGTATCTTGGTATTTTTATGAGTTACAGAAAGAAAAGTATGAATGTTTGAAATGTTTGAATGTATGTACAAGGGAACATGTTAATTCAGTTGTGCGTAATTATCTTAAAAAAAAACTTAATTACACTCTATTGCCATTGAATTTGGTTTTCATCCCTGTTTAGCCAGTTCATTCTTAGGAAATACGACAGGTTAAAACAACAGAGAGGTTTTACTGTGTTTCTACTGGTAGAATATTATTAACTGTAGTCACATAACCATGTCCTTGCAACCGTTTACAAGCAGAATGTTAAAATAATGCTTGAAATAGCAAGTTGTCAAAGTGCGTGCAAAATGTCCCCCATGTAAGTCATGCGGTTGGTATGTGACGTTAAGTTCACAAGCACGGCATGTTCTTTAAACAGTTTTTAACAAAACGATGGGATGCCATTAAGCAATGTTATTTGTGTGGTTAAACTATCCACTGGATGAAACGGTGATGTGATCACATGGCGTCGAGTTTGCTCTATGGTTTTAGCAAACCAGACTGGTTCTTACACAGAAGCCGTGAAGAACTGGCTCAAACAGCCCCACGGGTTGAGCCCTGGAACCAATTCGGTGGGAAAAACCCAAAACTGTTTTTAATTTTTCCAGTATTTACTCAACTAAATATTGCCCTCGTTGGTTCGCTCACCTATGACTCATATCTTTGCTCATCCGAGACCAAAAGAACAAGCATGAAACAGTGGAAATGAGGGTCAGCGAAAGTAAGGACAAATCTAGACAATGAGAGGAAATCTGCATGAGTCATAATGAAAAGGAAGAACCTCTGTTTGGAGCGATGCTGCAATACTTGGCAGATATATTTATGTAGATGATTAGTGACAAGACACCTTTTGTGGAACATATTCACTCGACACAGATGTTCAGCTGAGAAAACAGCAACAATGTAAACTGCGACGACACTTTTAGAGCTGATACCTCTTAAAGCTTGTTTTCCTCCTCAGAAATCCTTAATGAAGGCCAAACAGGCACACTGTAAGCATTGTTTGGTGTCATGCAAGATGTTTACAAGTCAAACGCATTCCACACACACACACACACACGCACGCACGCGCAAAAAAAACTCTACAAAAATCCAGAACCATCTGTTTAACAGGTCTCAATTATGCTGTTATAGTTATGTTAATAGACATTAAATGCACCTTGGCACAAACTGTGTCAGATTAATGAAAACATCAAAGTTTAATGAAGAGAGGCCACCATTTGTTAAATGGTGAGTGGGATACACTGCACAGTGTAAACAACCAAAAGGATGCCTATTAAAAACAGATGTTTATGAGCCCACTCCTGACATGACACAGCACATTTATTACTTCTGGCTGCTGGTATTTTTTTGCTTGTGCATGACATGTTTGTATCTGCATGTGTGCTCTCCATTAGCAGCGGTTACATTTTGGAGGAACCCTTCCGCTCTTTACAGCAACACAGACCAAAATCTATCAAAATTGAATTTAATTACATGTTTTGTTCTTCAGACCGATGTTCTTTTTTTAAGGTTTTGTTGGCTCTACTGGCCTTTATTTGAAGGTAGTTTGACAGGAAAGAGGGAGACATGTGGCAAATGTCACCAGGTCGGGAATCAAACCTGCGACCACAGGCATGAGGACCAAGGCCTCTATGCGTGGGTTGTGCTTTGTCCCTGCGCCACCACAGCACCCCCCAGACTGATGTTCTTAACATCTGTCTGTTGAAGAACATGAGGTTGTCTGATCTCTTTTTAATCATTCTACTACTGGGCCCCTAATTAAAGTGATCCAGTGTGATGCACAGGGAACAAGCCCTCTGACAGCGTGCATCCCTTAGGATTAGATAACAGCTGTCATTATCGTCCACTCCTTCAGGAAGACCCGGCAGTAACATTTCGTGATATAACATTGAGGTTGAGAGTGTTTTGCTTTCATCACAACCACATGTTTGCCACAAGGACAGGCTTAATTGCTGGATATTTATCTAGATGAAACAACAGAGGCATTAATTTCCTCTAATATTTCATGACTTGTTCCTTTGGGGCTCAAACCGCTCATAAAATCGGAGCCTGAAGAAACAAGAGAGGACATTAACATGTGAACCCCACACCTGGAAACAGCTGCAGCCTGCCTCGGTAAATAAACCCTGTAGACTGACATGTATTTAAGAACAGAGGTAAAGTAGACCACAGTCAGAGTAAGTACATCCTTCTCCAAATATCTGATTGCCCAATGTGGTACACTTCATTTCAGATGGTCAAGCTCCAATAACAATCGTAATTGTGCAGTAATTTCCAATGCGGTATGCTTATTACTTCAACATGAATGTCCTCGTGCAGAGACGTATGTGCATTTACCTTGTGAACACTGCGGTATGCCACACTCCTGGTGTCGGAGGTGTGGCCTGGGGTCGGTGGTGAAGCACCATGGACCAACGGTGGAGTTGTCTGGGTTGCGGCAATAATTCTCTATTAGGTCCGTTTTCCTGTACCGCTTAGACATGAATCTGTTGGAACAAGAGAAGCATGCAAAACAACAGCTCACAACCAGAGCAAAGTGAAGAAACAAAAGCCAGAAGCTTAATGTCAACTTTTACTAATCACAGAATGACGAGCAATTTCTCCTTTACAAGGCAGCTGCTGCTTGGCGGTAAATCGCCTGCGTCGAGACGGCAAAATAAACATCTTTTAAAGTCACCGGTTGCAAGGCTGGAGGACTGACTTATCCATTCCCTGCTATTGGTAATTAGAGAAAACATGTTCATGCGTAACAGCGGTGATATTTTCCCGTCAAGGCCTGTTCTTAATGTAGAATAAACATGCTGACAAGTGACTCATATCTTTTACATCAGGCGAGCACATGGCTGTGGTCACCAGTGGGGATGATGGACATGGCAAGTGTAGTTTTTACGTCGAGCTGTATTTTTCCACGATGATGAAATGATAAAGTATAAAACGTTCATCTTTTGGTGCCCGATAAGGACAGAGGAGGCAGGAAGTTAAAACCTGGAGCTGATAAAAGTCCTATTGGTTTTTCACTCTGTGTGTGTGTGTCTGTGTGTGTGCGTGTGCGTGTGAGGGTGCGTGTGTGTGTCAGAGATCCCTATGTCTACAAGCTGACTGATAAAAACATACAAAGTTCCTTGCTGTAATTACCTAATTTGTAGAGGCATTAAATGTAGTTTGACATAGGAGGTTCATTGAAAGTACAAACATTCACTGCCAGCTGTCAGCTCACAACAAAGCCCTTTCAGTATTCTTAACACTAATATATAAGGATATGAGACTTCACATATCTTTGGTCATTTGAAAATACTTATATTTTTCTCTAAATTGTATTTTCTTTTTACACCTTATTCATAAAATAAATGCAATACATTAATTGAACCGGAAAATTCAAATTAGGTAAAAACAAAATAAAAAAGGGAGAAAAGGGAGGATAACTTGAGCAGTTAAGCCCTGTATTGAGCTCACAATGATGATCTGCTGGGTAACATCAGAAACGCCGTAAACATTGCCTTACTTTATTATTGGTAATGACTGTTTTCACTGTGTTAGTCTAGCAAATTTATCTGTGGGAAAAGATTAAATGAGCTACTTTAAAGTGAAATCTTTCAAGAGCCTTAAGTTACGTGAATGTGGACTATATACACAGAGGACGTAGCTAAGAAGCTTATTGTGTTATTTTGTGTTTGTTTTCAAAAGCATTTAGTTCTTTTCTACCTGATGCATGTCTAAATTAGTGTCAAAAGTTCATAACATTGCTAACTTAAATTTTCAGCATCCTCAGTCTATTTGAGGGGTTTTTTTTCTTATCTTAAAAACAATAGTTGAATTTGAGGCATTTCTTTTTTACAGACCATCAGTATGGATGGATGGATGGATGGATGGATGGATGGATGGATGGATGGATGGATGGATGGATGGATGGATGGAAGGAAGGAAGGAAGGAAGGAAGGAAGGAAGGAAGGAAGGACACAAAAAACAGGCTGGATATAGAAATATTTTACCACACACTATGTTCTTTTTCCATGCTCATCCAGACTGAGCAGGAAAAGGATTTACACTTTAATCTTGTTGCTCTTAAGACATTGTGATCTACTCTTGCTGTCCATTTAGTTCACTTCTGTTTTTTGATGCATTCCCCCCCAAAAACTCGCATGCAGCCTCTTATCTTAGAAGCTAGTCGCAAATTAGATAAGATCCTAATTTCTGTACTGAGACACACATGCAAAATAAACACACATCTCGATAAACAGACTGGCCATTGCAGGAAATGATGTGTGACTCAGTGAAGTGTTACAATGAGGTCACCTCTGATGAATGACTGCTCCCTGGAGCATAATCAGCCACTAATATATCAAACCCACACATGGACACAGACTAGCCTCTAGCTACCAGCTAATTGCTGCTCTTACTGGCCAACACTAACATTAACAGCAGCTTATAACACGGTGCTGTTTGACACTGGGGTGAAAAGAACAGTGCATTTCTTACTTGTGCTCATGAGGTATTGGGGAGGCCCAGGCTTGGCACAGGATCCCACTGACTGTCACTGACCTCCGACCCCTGTAGCTCTGACCTGTCCCCACAATGCATTCCCTTATGTAGTCTGCAGTGAGGCAAAAACGAGAGAAGAGGGAAATGTGATGAGTTAACAACCTGATCACAATTTTTATAGACAAAGCCTGAGCAACTAATGAAGAAAACAGAGAGAGGGAGTTGCAATGCTGGGCTTAACAAGAATGTGACATTGCCAGAAGAGGAATCTGTTTTCCCAATCAGGGCCATGCGGGTTCACACTGGCTGCAGAGCTTGGATGTTCGCTTTTTTTTTTTTTTTGGTCATCTTGACTAAACCGAAGACAGGGATTTCCAGTGTTTATACGAACACCACTTTGTAACAGCAGAGAATAAAGCATGACATATAGCGGGGCTGTAAAGAAAAGACAATTACCCTTGACACTCCCTTGTTTTCCCCCCTGTGGGCTGCTATGATTACTAAAAATAAACCACTTTGACCACTAAAATCAATAGACAAATCAAATTCCAAATATAATTGATACATTAATGCAACACAAACCACCCTTAATGGGGATAACTTTCCTGTCCTGATCGACAGGCTGATCGAGTGAGACACCGTCTGGTCCTAATATCAGTTGGCAAAAAGGAAAAGAAAACAGAAAAGGGCACCTTTCTTTTGATAGAGGTCATAGTAGACGTTCTGATGGCTTTGAGCTCCTGGCGAATTTCTGTCAAATGAAAGCCACTGGCATTTCCTGTTCCGATGATCATAGAGGAAAGCTCTGGTGAAGGAAAACAGATAGAGAAAGCTGAGGTCAAATGACGACTGAATACAATCTGTAATTTCTTGAAGCAAAATGCATTGACAGGTGTTTTAGTAGTTAAAATGATGCCACTCATAATCATTTTATATGGTTAGGAGGTCGCATCATCAGTCCCTCGGTTGTTTTTTTTTTTTTTTTTTTTTTTTTTAACTGACATCCGTTTCCATGAGTTCAATTTGCATATTTAAAAAGAAAAAGGATAGGGGAATCATTGTTGACAAACCTGCAGTTGAATGGGAGTCTTTTTCCGCGACTGCATGTTTTTGCACATTTGGTTAAGCTCAGTTTCCTGCTTTTGGTCAAATGTGAGGAATCTGGAGACACAACAGCCAGTCGGGTACCTTCGGATTTCTGATAGTCTTGGAGAGCATTTCGCCTGCCCTCTGTCGCACAATCACAAAACATGGTCATGCAGTTGCAGCAATACAGAGTGTGAAAAAACTTTTTTTAAGGCAAAACAGACACTAAGGTATAACTAACTTTAATGAGGAGGAAGAACATGCAGGACTTGCTTTTGGTTTACTAACCTGTTCTGCAATTAGCTATCCACTGAGGAGAATTGTGTTACACTGTTCGTTCACTTTAAATAAGATGAATCTCCTATTATTATTCAACATCATTCAGAAAGGTGGTGTGGATGACATGTTAATACAAACACTCCCACTAGATCAACTAGTCATGAGTCAGGCTGCTTTAAGTGCGCCAATTTGCCTTGGGTCTTTTACATCTCTGTAAAAATCAGAGAGCCACTTGAAAAGAAAACTCTGGTTTCAAATCCCAAAACCACATCACTCTTCCCCTTCTTCCTACACGTGTTGTTTGTATGTCTGCAAGCACTTCAATTGACTTGATTTTTTCTTCTTCTTCTTCTTTTAACAATGCAGAGGAAAAAAATGACCAATCTTGAAATGACAAGGATGATGAGTCCTGCTTTCAGATTCTGTCTATGCATTAAGTTTGGATGACATGAAGGATCAGAGGTTTGACGTGAGTCAATTAAAGTTATGTTTTTACTCTGCTGAATGAAACTTTGAGAATCATTCTGCTGGAGAAAAAAAACAAAAAAAAACTAAAAAACTAAATGGACTACAGAAAGGTTAAATGGTTTTAGCTGGTTACACTGTGTGACAGTACGTTATTTGATCACTTTGTTAGAGGTTTTTGTAACAGGTTAGGAGGTCCTTTTGCAGATGACACAGCAGTATGAGATGAAAACAGCTGCATGGTGTTTCATATATAACTTGGGTTTATGCACGCTTAAAAGTTCTTGCAAGGTGAAGTAAATGCTATGGATAGAAAATACACCTTCAGATACAGCTTTTACAACAAAAATAATGTACATATTTCTGTCTTTATTTTTTCATTATTACTATTTTGTATCAGATTAAATTAACAAGAAGGTAGGCTATTTGAATAAAACTGCTATCGGCTATTCGTGGAGCGCCAGCCAGTGCAGTGAAAACGCGACTGCAGCCAGTCAGACACGTTTTCCAAACTGTTACTAAACAGTTTACCGGGGGAAAGACAAAAAGAAGAACTTACCGCAGCAAGAAACGACTGCGAGTCCAACAACGAGCCTGTAAATCCACATCGCCTTCATTACACAACAACGTGCAGAGAAAACAAATGGAAACGCTGCCTGCTGTGCGCTCTGACAGATACCAAGAGACTTTGCTTCCACCACTGCACAAATGATGCGTCTCCCCTCTAAGTACTTATTCACCTCCCTCCCTCTCTCCCCCCCTCCCCCCACTCTCCCCCTCTGCCTGTTTGCGCGCGCGCGAAAGAGTTACGCATCTATCTTCTTCTTGCTCTACGTTTTATTTATTTTTCATCTCGTTTTTTTTTTTTTTCTCGACTTTATTCCTCCGCAACCAGCAAGTACGTACTTTACCAATATTTAAAGGGGGATGCGAATGTTCAGACCTGTGTGGTGCTGGATGTGTTTTGTTTATGATGTGAATGGGGTTGCATCCTTCTGTTCAAATAAACAAATTAAGCAGGTTAAATATTTCACATGTGTTATTTTTTGACTTCACTTTAACCCTATTATTTCCATCCCGTCAGCGCTGAGGGAAATTCGCCATTTGTCTTTAGTTTTGTCTTTTAATATATATATATATATATATATATATATATATATATATATATATATATATATATATATATATATATATATATGTATATATATATATTTTTTTTTTTTTTTTTCCACTACCTAAAACTGAAAAGTAAATTACCCGGGAGTTTTATTGGGACAGGTCTCCAGACATAAAAATTAAAATTAGTCCTAGTGGCCCTAATACTCATTCTGGTCCTATTAGTAGTAGGACCGGAATGAGTCCTATTAGTGGTATGAGTACAGTAATAGGCTATTACTTAAACCTTCCAAGAGGAAGGTTTAAGTAATCCCATTTCCACAAAGTTGTTTGTAAAGGAATTAAAAGTATCAACATAAATGTGTGATTTAATTCATGTGCAAATTCTAATAGCTATTAGATTTCTTTGACCTTTCCAACCCTCACACAAGAAATATTGCTTATAAAATAAGACATTTTAAGCGTGAATTTGTTTGTTAAAGTTTAGTTTAAAAGAATTTAACTTCTTTTTAAAGGGTATTATGTATTTTTCAGACACACAGTGCCATTTTATATATATTGTACAATCAAGCAACTACTTTACTTTCAGTTGTTTGAATTTTTTTTAATAGATTTATATATTAACCATACCAAAATGGAATTTGATTTGACAATATGGCATCTTGAAATTGGGCCTCTGTATCTTTAAGAAGCTCCTACTCTTTCAGACACTCCTGCATCAGTACATCATCACAACAATGCTACTCCATTAAGCCATTTACAAGCATTCTTAGGAATGTTGGACTGAGATATGATAAACTCAGCAGACACTTGCAGGTGTTTGCTAATTGCTACTGCCACTAATCTGATGCAGCTGAAAGTGGAAAGCACTGGGGAGGAGTGCTCAGTAAGAATGAAGCTCAGATGGGGACTGTAGCTCCAAGGAGGAGCTTTGTGAAAATAGATAGCAAGGATTTCTCCAACGTGAATGAAAGAATTAAAGCAACACACCAGGTATCTTTTTGATGAGGGAATAACATTATGGCATCACATAATGCTTTATAAAGCAGATTTCACATAAAATCCTCTTTAAACTTGTTTTGTTGCATTTGATGAATTCTCTCCTGCCAAAAGACTATAGATTGATTAAATCTTTTGAAATATACTCCTGGTAAAGACTAAGACAAAGACTTTATACTCCAGCATGTGGCGCTGTCTTTGACTTAGCTCCTTCACCACAGAGTAGAAGACAAGTACAGGATTCAAATCAGCATGTTTTGAAACAAACCTGTTAAATAGATTGAGGTTTTAAAACTTAAGCCATTTAACGATGTTAGTTACTAAAGTTCACACTATAAAAACATTTGTTTATGTAAGCTGATAGTAGCCTTTTACGTGCTCAGTAGTTAGCAAAAGCTAATTCTGGTTGTGCTTAACATTTTATGCTAAAACCAAACAAATGGAAATAGTCCATCTAGAATGTAAATATTTTATAGTGGTACAGATCTAGTTACCCATATCTATTTGTTTTCCAATAAATCCTCTTAGATATAGGATTTTTTTTTTTATTTCCATCATTCATACAGTTAACACTGTGACCTCCCAGCAATAAGATTTTCATTCTCATTTCTTTTTAAATTGTGCATCTGGTATGAGTGTGTACATTCTTTTTCGTGTTTTGTGTTTTTGTGACGGACTGGAAATTTGTCCAATGTGTGTCCTGCCTGTCACTGTGAAGATTGAGTCCCATCAAATAAGCAGGTACTTAAAAATGATCACTTGGAGTCATAAGCCTCATAAGCCATTGTTTCAGTAATTGTTTTCAACTCACTTTGTGAAAGCTTTAATGTCAACCATCAGCCACGCTAACCATTATTTTTGAATAGTAAATATTGGTGAATCAAACCAATCACCCAACCCTGTTATGTTAAACCAACTCCTGTGAGGGTGTGTCCATATTTGACTGAGGGCCTGTGTTATTAAAACAACCAAAATTGGCTATATTTTAACATTTTAACAGCATTTCTAAAATGTGTTACCATTCACTCAGTCTTTTTTCTCACCCATCCTGTTTTGTCAATCTTTCCTCTACCATGTTCACTTGTCTGGAAGCCACTTGTCAGCAACGGGAAACTCAATAGGCCGGGTAGTTGTTTATACTGCTCTGCTGGTTCCCTCTTAGATAAGATGAACTCAGTGGTAAGGAAGGGGGGGCGTGGATGGATGAGTGCCATCTCTGTTTCCAGTGATGACAGCATGAGATAGCATGAAACTTCATGGCAGTGCTTTCAGGCAGCTCTGATGTAGCACTCATCCAGCTTTACTGCAGTCCTTAGCACAGAGCAGCGTATTGATTAGGTATCAAGTTAGTCCAAAGATTTACAGGAACGTGGAAATATCTGGCTATTTTGTAACAATCACGTCATGTGTGCGAAACAAATCATAGAAGTAGCCGGATGAATATGTAGGAGGAAACAGACTCCATCTCTATATTCTGTCTGGTTTGGTGAGTAATGGTCCTGTGAAGTCCTGCGGGAACTGCAGAGTTCCTTGCAATAATAAAGAATCATCGATGAGTCAGACACTTTCACTGGAGCCAAACATGTTTTCTGTTTTTAGCATGTTTTTACTTTTATTCCAAAGGAATAAAAAGTACAAAATGTGTATGAAACGCATCTCTTCATCGTTTTCAGTACACATAAACACACTCACAAACGTATAACAAGCAGCATATGAGTGAATAACCTTCACCAGCGTGAGATTGCGACAAAAAAACTCCTCACTGCCACAATCCCATTACTGACTCTCCTCGCAAGAATCCAGTGGGTGTTTTCACTGCGTCTGCGAGACTTCTGCTCGGAGATGGAAATTAGAGAAACCCAGAAGCCCTCTGCCTCGCTCCACGCGAGTGCCGGCCTGTCACCGTTGGAGACTCCTCACATCTGTGGCTGGTTATTGCCAGAAAACCTCATATCTGGTAATGGGGGAGAGAGAGTTCAATGGGAGATTGAGATGATATTAAGGGTGAAGAAGCGGCTTCACAGGCAGTGCAGATGAAGAACAGTCTGGAACAATGGGTTTTTTGTCTGAAAGGGAAGTGAAGAAACATAGTAGGGCAGCAGTGGTGGCTCTATTTGCATGCATACTTGTGGAGTGTGTTGAGTATTAATGGACTTCCTGCAGATTTGTTTGGAATCTTTGTGTGCATTGGTGTTCGACAGTTTTACTTTTCCACACAAGTGGGTGTATGCAGATACACTTCTATGTTCTATGTCCTCTGTTGAAAATAGCTAAACCTGTGTGTGACCTCACATTAAACCAACTTCTAGACGTCAGAAAACAGAACAGATTTCTCCACAAGACACCATCTGTTTTAGAAATAGGTGACGAGAATATGCTAGAAACTGTTGCAGTTTGAGATAGAGGACTCAGACATGCGGGTATGGTGGCTCAGGTAGGTAAGTGCAATTAGGGGAGAAGATGCGCCAGAGCGAGGCAGTTGTGAACTGTTTGGGGAAGATGCTGTAAACACAGATACTGTGTCAAGTGATCCTCCTTTAAATAAACACACATTTCCTGTTGTCAGCACACGTGATTGTGGCCACTGCTCCTAATGGAGGTTTGCTGACATTTCCAGGCAATACAAATAAACTCTGCAGAGACGTAGTTTTCTTCTTCAAAAAAAAAAAAACAAACAAAAAACCCGCACAGTTTTAAACATATTCGTCAAGAGAAATTTGTCATAATATCCCCCCCACCCTCCCAGCGCCCCGTTCTCCCTCCCCCCCACACACTGCCTCCCAGCTTCATCTCTGTGATCTGCTTTTGAGTTATTACGAGTACAGAATTTTGGAGTTCAGAGCACTAAGAGAAAAAATGTTGTACATTTTTCCATGCATAACAGTTGACTAAAATGAGAAAAAAAAAAAAAAAAAAATTCTAAGTCGTACAAGTAGAAGCTTGGTGGGTTGCACATTATGTCTTACTGTCACGCTCAAAGAATCTGTAAAATTCAGTTGATATGATATTTAACCTGACAGTTGTCCATTCTACACTTGTACATCTCAGTACAGTCCAATTGGGTACAGGTACAAAGTATAAACTATCATCCAAAAAACATAAGAGAAGAGCTGTAATTTCTTCGCATAGTTCACAAACATAATAACATTTATTATGATTAACTTACATTAATCAATCAAAAATATTAAACTGAATAAGTTTAAAATATTAAAATATTACTAGTAATGGCATCAATTTTGAAACTCAGATATCTCAAACTGACCTGACATTAACACCTTCATGGCTATGGTTTGGTTACATACCTACGATGCACATTTATACTAATTCAACCTCATCTTCCTCTTTTGTTAAGCAAAGGAAAAAAAACTATTTTTTCTTTTTTTAGAGGTTTTTAAAATCCTCCAGTGAGAGTCAAGCAGAACTGACATCAAATCCCTTGTTTGTGTGCACAAGCTTTGCAAATAAAACTGATTGTGAATCCCTATTTATTGGACATCTTAATGATAAACAGGAGTAATAAAGCCAGAATAAAAAGCATGACAACCTCGTTCTATCCTACAAACTCTAGCCAGCGTGCTATTTATTTTACTACA